GAAGATGACTCTTGAATGTTGATTAGTTTGTCAAAGAAGGTGCCGAACAAGAGCTCAAAAAAGTGGGCACTGATTATGTATTCTTATTTTAATCTATTTTCTTATGATAAGGTCCCAATGAAGATGTGTTTGTTTGTGTTTTCTCTATGTAACTTCCTTAGTTTGAATTTTTATAATATTTTATTATTGCAAGTCTGTATTTTTGTTTAGATGCAATTAGTTATTGTTACTTTGTGTGTAATAATACAGACTACTAACAAAAGTTTAAAAATACTATTGCACAAAGAACTAATTATATTTTCTTTAAAGATTCCTTCATTTTTATCTATATAAATCCATAATTTTTTTATTTCATGAAACTTTTGCTCGAGATTATCCTTTTTATTTCATATTTGAAATAGTGTTTTTCTTAATTCTTCTTAAAGTCTTTCTCACATAACTGCTAAGACATAAGTTAAAGTGCCAAGGAGGCACCTAAACGTTTCTTATTTCAAGTTAAATAACGGACATTGAAAAAGAGTATTAAGTACTAAATCTACACTACAAAACTACACTACAACATATTTTTACTTTAATTTAAATTTATCAATTTAAATTTAGCATAATTTACATATGCTCATTTTTACGTTTTAGACATTATAATTTCCATATTTTATCAAATAATTTTTACACTTCTTACGATCTATTTGAGCTATTCATATTATTATCGGTTGAATTTCGTTCTTTTTTAGTATTATTAGTTTCACATTATAAACGTTATGTTATTAAGTATCTTTTTAAGTATAAATGAAGAAAAACAAATTTAAAGTATAAAATTTTAAAAATAGTTCTCTATCTTCAATCTACGATGTTCCACATATGTATTGTGTGTAAATTATACAAAATGATCAACTTTGTTTTTCATTATTTTTAAAGTACTTTTCTTTCCTTCATGTAATAGTATATTTTATTTGTTAGAAATTGGTTCAGTGTGAATTTAACTATGAATTTTGATTTATTTAATTAAATTTGAACTAAAAATTCTTTTATATTCAAAAAATATGAAACGATTAATTTATACCTTTGATATAATATTTTATTACCGCGCGTAGCACGGCTAAGTTACCTAGTTGGCCAATAAATCAAATAAAAAAATATTATTGGGTTATTGCAATTGAGTTATTGGGTGAATACATATTTAATGATTTTATAAATAAAAATAATCGGATTATTGGTTCGATATTGATTTTTTAATTCTGGTTTATTAGGTAAATCAATAACCCATTAAGACAAGAGTAATTTGCTACTTTACCCCTACATAAATATTAAATATTAATATCAATACCTTATTGGTTACTATATTTGCCATTTAGCAAATTCACATAATTGTCCTGGTTCTT